CTGCCTCCACCCCCTCCACTTTTCTCTGAATCACCACAGCCATCCCAGCAGCCCAGAATGTCCTCTCCCAGCCCTCTAAACCAAAACCCCAGAAAACACTGGCCAATGGACAGATCTGCCCAGATTCTGATATTGGTATCAAGGCTGTACCTTTTGTTGAGCAAATAAAAGACTACTTTCCAGCCCCCTTGATACTTGTGGGCAGGTTCTGGCTATATGCATGAAGCAGATTATTTTCCAGTCCAGATATTATAAATCATTATCAAGTGCTTAACTGGGTGCCAAGTAGCTTGCTAACCACTCTCCATGGAATTTAATCTTCATCTCCAGTTCATGGAAGAATGTACTGTTATTAGCTCTATTTTGCAGAGAGGAAAATTGACACTCGGAGATATTAAGCAACTTGCCTGAGGCTCCAGCGCTGCTGAGTGGCAGAGCAGACAGGGCAGGATTCAGACCCATGTCTAACTACTTTCAAAGCCCACACCTTCAATCTCTGTACCTCACTGCCATGTAGAATGACATGTTTCAGTCCAGAGCTGTATTGGAGAGTAGCATTCAGGGCATAATTGATTCATGGGCTCTTCCCCCCTCAAACTCCATGTCAACTAGGACACCTGTTCTGGGGGCCTTGGAAGAGCAAGTCAGACCAGAAATCTTTCTGCAACTAAATCTCTGACCAATGAGCAATGGCCTTAGACCCTGTCCAGTGACATCTTTTGGAGATTTGGGGGGATTTCACCAAAAACACAGACCACAGGCCAATGACATCAACTGGAATTGCCTAATTGATTTCTAAGGTTCCTTTCAAGGGCAAGTTTTTAGTCCTAGAGGTTATGCTAGACTCCAAGGGCCGTCTTCCCTGGCGGTTTCTCTCTCACACCTTTCTCAACAACCTCTCCCCTCTGAACCAGAAACTTTATTCTAATGCTGTCCATGTGGCAATCGGGCTGGTTTGCCAGGATTAAAGCACACACTCAACAGATATTGAGAGGGGAAGGAAAGGGAAAGGTTGCCATGATTTCTTTTAACAGGGTAATTGCAAAATTAACATCCCTACTGTGTACTTTCCAAATGATCTAAGGACATTTGGCTCATAAATCAAACCCATAGATAAGAATCAGCTCATCTATTTTTAAAAATCAACAAAGCACACACTTCAGTAGCCATTATGATAAAACCCTACACCAGTTTGTTTGGGAGCCAGGGAAGGGGGGCTGGGGTGGGGAGGAGGAAGCAGGCTCAAATATCTGTTCCTCACTTCACTAAAACCCTTACCACTGCCTCCAAAGCCATCGTAACCTGACCCCTGGCCAATCTACAGCCCCACAAACCTCCCGGCCATCCCCTAAACACACAGACATCCTCCTGTGGGAGGACCTGTGCACCTCTACTCCCTCTAAAACACTCTCCCTCCAGATGTTTACAGGCGGGGCTTGCTCCTTACTCCAGGCTGGTCCCTGCTCGAATGTCATCCTCTGAAAGAGGCCGCAACATCCCTCCCGCCTAGAGTATCAGCTCCTGCCCATTCTGTCCCCTCACTTTGCTTTATTTGTTATCCTAGCACTTATCACTCATTGCCTGCCCTTATACATTTCCACTTATTTGTATGTTTGTTGTCTATCTGCCAGCACAATATAAACTATACACAGGCAGGAACTTTGTCATTTCTGTGCTCTGCTGTCCCTTGAGCTGGGGATACTGCCTGGTTTAAAGTAGACCCTTAACAAAAACCTGACTCAGTACTCGTTATCACTCTGTGAACTAAGTAGTATTATTCCCTTTTAACAGAGGAGCCGAGGTTCTCAGAGATTACAGTGTCTCCATAAAAGTTAGAGCCAAAATCAAACCCCTGCTTGTTTCAACAAAAAGGCCAGGGTTGCACTAACTATATACCATTCAGTTATGTGAAAGAAGAAAAAGTGACATCATGTTAATACTTGGCTCCATTGTCATACATCACTCTCACAGCAGTCCTGTCGGGGATCCTGACAGCTGCCATCACAGATCAGGAAAATCAGGCTCACCGTGTCCACGGGGAAAGTGGAGAGCAGGGGCAGAGGCAGGCTTTAAGGGGCCTAGACCTTGGGTAGCATGAAGTGGGTGGGGGAGCTGTCCTCTTTAACCACAAATGCTAAATTAAGTTCAGGGCTTAGAACAGGTCTCACAGTGGGAGGCGCTGACCCTTGACCTTAGCTCTCAGTGAGTCCCTTGTGCCGGTCAGGGAAAGTGCTGTGGCTTCTGTGACCCAGGTGTAGGGATCACAGGTGGCTGTGAAGGCGCTGGCAGTGCAAAGGCAAGTAGCACAGTTTGGCTGTCAGCTGTTAAGGAAGCCTCTTACCCTTCCCGCTTCAGTCCCCTCCTTGCAAAATGGTGCCAATATGCTGGGACAACCTTAAGAGTGAGCAGAGTCTAAGGTTGTGTGGGGTGGGGGACAAGGGGGATAGGAAAGGTGTTTTGAATGTTGCCCAGGGGCTTTGCTTCCCCATCATGGACATTCTTTGGAACTGTCCCAGAGGTTCTTTGCGTTGCCAGTGTTGACATTGTTTGGCTTCTGGGAGCACAGAGACCCTGCCATGCCAAGCCAGCAGTGGACTTAGTGAAGACCATGTTCCCAGAGCTTGACATTGGCTCAGCTCTGCCAAGAACTATCTGTGCTTTCAGAAAGTTATAATTTTGTTATCTGAGAAATTATAGCAGTGATTTGAAGTTAGTTCAACTCCACGGTCCTGTCCCAATTCTAAACTGCTCCCTGCACATCCAAGCACATGGAAACACATTCTCCTTTCCATTGGAGGTAGGAGGGTAGGGAGGAGGGAGGGGAGATTTTGGAGTGTTGACCTTGACGGATTAAGAATAGCTTTCTTTTCTTGTTTACAGGGTGGGGTGGGGAGGTAACGGCCAGTGCATCCTGGACAGAGAGGGGGCTGAACGTCAGGAAAGCGAGGGTCCAAAGATCCCGGGCAGTTCCTAAATACTCATGCTTTACCTACCCCAGGGGTAGAGGTGGGGGTGCACAAGCAAATCCGCTTGCAAAACACAAGCCCCCTGTGTGCAATTAGCTCTCTAAGCATGAGGGCGACCTGGCAGGAGCCCCTCCCTGTGGTTCCCTGAGGCCCGGAGCGCTCACCTTGCGGCCGTTCACGTAGAAGAGCAGCTCCGCCGCCCCGTCCATGGTGGCGACACAAGGGCGTTCCTTGGTGGGACTCAGGGCTCCGAGGGATCTCTGGCACTCAGGACCCAACGACGCTGACTGGGCAAATGAGACGCAACTGCTGGAGCTGGAAGTCCAGTGGAGCCGGATGGAGAAAGTCCTGATTAAGAAAGATCCAAAAGTTCTGCCAGCGCCTTCCAGGATGTTAGGACATCCCTGGCGCGCACTATCTGCTCTGAAGTCAATGGCGCAGATCCCTTTCACTCTTCGCAGGTGGAGCTTAGCGTCCCCCCCACTGTCCTGCCTCTTAGCCGGTCCCGCAGGTCCTGTGACGGCCTCTTTGGTCGCCCAGTCACATTACATATTTTACGTGGCTTCCCAGCCAGATTTCCAGTCCGGGGAAAGTGGTTTTTTTTTTGGTTTGTTTTTTGTACTTCCCCTCCCGCCACGCCCACTGCACTCCTGCACCGTTTGCAGTTAATAAACACCCACATTTATTCTAACTGTACAGGACAGGAGCTCAAGGACAACAAATAGTTTTACCACTTTATAAGTAATTTTATAAGTAATTTTACGTTTATTTTCAAAATCAAGAGCTATCTTAATGTGGAAATAAACTTTTAAGAAGATTTATCATTATTCACTGTTTACTTAGTAAATAACACAAAGTTTATCTGGCAAATATCAAGAGATGTAAAACATCTTGGGGAACTTTTTAAAAACTTGGAAAATGCTGAAAAGCATAAAAATAAAAATCACCTGTAGGCTAACAACTTAGAATTCACCACAGTTAACTTTTTAGGTCTATCGTTATGTTTTTGAAATCTGTGCTGTAATACCTTTTAAAAGTTCGAATGGAACAGAACTAGTTATTTTCCAGACTTGCTTTACATACACCACACTGGAAATTTAGAGGAGGAGGGAGAAATATCCAACCTCCTGCTTGCATCCTATTCCTGTGAGCACCACCACAGAAATGGTTCGTGTGGGCAGGACAACTACTGCAGCGGGAACAGTTGGCCCCAAAACATCCTGGGACCAGTCCTGTTCTACCTAGCATTCCAGGGAGACAGTACCAACAAGCTGCACACCTTCCCCAGAGTGCTGGCACTCTTACTCCAAGCCTTTGTGTTTCAATTCCACCCTTTCCTCTCTGTTCCCTCAGCCCCAGAGGTGGTTGGTGCTTCCTGCAGTTACTTCCTCTGTGATTCTCTCCACTGGCCCCTGTTCCCTTTCCAGTTCTTGTCAGTTCTCTAGTACATGGTTAACAATTTATAAAGTAACTGTCCATTGGCTGGCCTCTAACTAATATAATCTCCATCAATGCCAAAAATCACTTGACAAAATGCAACACTTTGATTTTCTTAAAAAGCACTCAACAAATAACAATTTATAAATACTTTAATGTGATTATAAATATACCCAGCATCTCTGGTAAAACCAGAGGCATTCCCAGGAAAATCAGCAACAATAGGCATGAAAATCCACTCTTCCTTCTATTTCTTTAAAATTTACCCAAGGCAACAGCCATGCAATTAGACAAGAGAAACCAAAGAGCAGCGTAAGAATTGAGGGAAAACAAGAGGTAAAGCTAGCTTGGTTTCAAGAGATATGTTTAGAAAATACTACAAACAATAACATAGTAATTAACATGGAGAAATCAATTCTTTACACATGCAAACAATAACCAATGAGAAGAATCAAAGAGAAGACGCCATATATATTACCGAGAAAAAAAGATAAAATACCGAGGCATAAATCTATCAAGGAATGTGTAAAACTTACAAGAGGTACTTTGAAATTCCCTTAAAGTTTCTATAATTTAAAGAGTATATTAGTGGGGCAAAAAAAGACAGACTAGACAGAGAATTGAGAAATAAATTTTAGTGCACACAGGAATACAACTTTAAAAAAAGGTGACATTTCAAACCAGTATTGGAAAACATGGACTTTTTCATTAATGCAAAGTCAGTTGGAAAAAGGTCAAAATTGCATTCATAGCTCACAACATACAATTGGACAAAATCTATGTGAATCAGAAATTTAATTATAAAAAACAAAATGAAGCCACAGGGAAATATGTTTATAATCTGGGAACAGAAAAATTGTTGCTTACTGTGACCGAATTCCACCAGCAACAAAAGATTGATAAATCTGACTGCATAATACGGAAAATAATTTGCATAGGAAGGGGAAGAGAAGAAAAGACAAATCCTACAGAAAGGAGAAAAAAATAGAAAGAATCAATAAGAACAAATATAATCCAGGAGAAAGAGTCCGAGAGATGCAGAGGCTGAAAGTACCGAAAGCACACACAGGAACGGGAACAAACACTGCCAGGGCTCCAGGCTCTTCGCCACTGTGTCCATTGTTCGTTTAAAAAAAACTCTCTGGCCCCCATTCAACCCACACTGTTGATATTTTGAGTACGCTTTGTGGGCTCTATACGCCTACAGCAGCTTTTCTCAAAGTTTAGTACAAGGACATCTGTCCCAGAATTATCAAAAATGTTTGCTAAAAATGCAGATTTCTGGGCTCACCCTTTCAGTTGTCAGATATTGTCCAAGAAAGCTTTTCATCTGGGCAGAATAGAATTTGACTAGTCATTTGCATATACAATAGGCCATGTTCACTGATCTCGGGTATGAATAGGATTTATTATTTTACTAGACTAGTAGCAATCTGTAAAATAAAATTATAGAAACCAAATTCAAAAGTGTGAAAGGTTAACCCTTCAGCCAAGTCATCAGATTACACATAACAAAGGTAATGCAGAACCTGACATCTAAGTACTGCCCAAGTAATTCTGAAAGTAGGAGCTGGCCAGGGCAGAGGAGACTTCTAAAATCCTAACGGTGTTCACATATATTGAATAGTTTAAAAACAAAACTACACAAGTTAGCTCGATATATAACAAGATAACCACTGCGAGAGTATTTACAATACATTTTATTTGGTTAAAAGTTAACAGATATTGTTTAGTTCAAGTCTAGTAGGCTGAAAAGCTGAATGAACAGGAAGTTACAGGATAACCAAGATGATTTTAAATTTTGTAGTAAAATGTAATATTACAAAACAGCTATTTAATGCACATATATCTAAACATAAAAAAAAAGAAAATGAGTAAGTCAGCACTCCATGAAAAGGCAGAAGAAGAAAAAAATAACCCAAACTTTTCATCATGTATTTCTTCCTCTCCCAGTTATTTCTGTTTGACTCGTTATGGTTTCAGAATTCAGAAAATCCAGAATCCATAAATTCACCTCATCTTCTCATCTTGCTGCAAAGTAGAAAAAAGGAGAACATTAGTAATAACCCAAAACAAATTCTTTTGCTGTGAAGCATGGAAAAAAATTTGCTGCATTATACTAGTAGAAATTTTTTCAAAACATGTTTTGCCATGTATCTGAAACACTCTGATAATGGGAATGATAAATAAAATTTAAGAAAAATTAATTAACAGGTTTATATATTACATTTTACTACAAGTTTCCTTTTAACTATAAGCTTTAGCATATACAATATATAAAAATGTATAATTTTAAAGCTATTAAAAAATCCTGAAGTATACAGCACCTAAGTTAAGAAATATCAGCACATTTCTGATTACAGCCCTCTTATCCTCCAAGAAACCACTGTCCTATATTGTGTTAATGATTCCCTTGCTTTCTTTTCTTTAGTTTTAACCACCTGTACAATGTGTGTTTGATCTTTATAGCAATAGAATCATTCTGTAGATGCATTTATGTAACTTTCTTCACTAAATACCTTTACTTATTTTCAAGCCTTTCCTTTACTGAAAAATTGAACATTCTTTTTTCCATTTGTACTTACGTAAATCTTTTTATTTTTTAACATTTTTATTGTTGCTTAAGTACAGTTTTCTACCTTTTCCTCCCACCACCCACTACCCCAGCCCTCCCCACCTCCCCCTCCCCTGTTCCCCCACTTGTTATTGTCCACACGTCCTTTGTTCCTGTAAACCCTTCACCCTTTTCCCCTATAACCCCCTCCACTCTCTCCTCTGGTCACTGTCAACCTGTTCTCAATTTCAGTGTCTTTGGCTATATTTTGCTTGCTTATTTGGTTTATTAGGCTCCTGTTAAAGGTGAGACCATATGGTATTTGTCTTTCACCACCTGGCTTATTTCACTTAGCATAATGCTCTCCAGTTCCATCCAGGCTGTCACAAAGGGTAGGAGCTCCTTCTTTCTTTCTGCTGCATAGAATTCCATTATGTAAATGTACTATAGTTTTTGATTCATTCATTTACTGATGGGCACTTAGATTGCTTCCAGCACTTGGCTATTATAAATTGTGCTGCTATGAACATAGGGGTGCATAGGTTCTTTTGGATTGGTGTTTCAGAGTTCTTAGGATATAAGCCCAGCAGTAGAACTGCTGGGTCAAAAGGCAGTTTCAGTTTTAGTTTTCTGAGGAAATTCCATACTGTTTTCCATAATGGTTGTACCAGTCTGCAATCCCACCAACAGTGCACTAGGGTTCCCTTTTCTCCACAACCTCTCCAACATGTTGTTTGTTGCTCTGTTTATGATGGCCATTCTGAACAGTGTGAAGTGGTATCTCATTGTGGTTTTAATTTGCATGTTTCTGATAGCCAGTGATACTGAGCATCTTTTCATATGTCTCTGGACCCTCTGTATGTCCTCCTGTTCAAGTCCTTTGTCCATTTTTTAATTGGGCTGCTTGTCTTTTCAGAGTGGAGTCATGTGAGTTCTTTATATATTTTGGAGATCAAGCCCTTGTCCGAGGTATCACTGGCAAATGTTTTCTTATACGGTTGGTTCTCTTTTCATTTTAATACTGCTTTCTTTAGCCATGCAGATTTTTATTTTGATGAGATCCCATTTGTTTATTCTTTCCTTTATGTCCCTTGCTTTAGGGGACATATCAGTGAAAATACTGCTGCGTGGAATATCTGAGATTTTCCTGTCTATGTTCTCCTCTAGGACTTTAATGGTGTCATGACTTATATTTACATCTTTTATCCACCTTGAATTTATTTTGGTGTATGGTGTAAGTTGGTGCTTGAGTTTCATTTTTTTTGCATGCAGCTGTCCAGCTCTCCCAACACCATTTGTTGAAGAGGCTATTTTTAGTCCATTTTATGTTGCTGCCCCCTTTGTCGAATATTAATTGGCTATAGAAACTTGGGTTTATTTCTGGGCTCTCTGTTCTGTCCCATTGGTCTATGTGTCTGTTCTTATGCCAGTACCAGGCTGTTCTGATTAACAGTGGTCTTGTAACACAGTTTGATATCAGGTATTGTGATCCCTCCTACTTTGCTCTTCTTTCTCAAAATTGCAGCAGCTATTTGAGGTCATTTATGGTTCCATAGAAATTTTTGAAGTGCTTGTTCTATATCTGTGAAATATGCCACTGGTACTTCAATAGGTATTGCATTGAATCTATAAATTGCTTTGGGTAGTATGGACATTTTGATGTTAATTCTTCCGATCCATGAACACGGTATATGTTCCTATTTGTTTGTGTCTTCCTTCAGTGTTGTGTAGTTTTCTGAGCACTGGTCTCTTACCTTCTTGGTTAGGTTTATTGCTAGGTATTTTATTTTTCTTGTTGCTATATCAAATGTGATTTTTTCCTGATTTCTGTTTCTGATGTTTCATTGTTGGTATACAAAAATGCCTTGGATTTCTGAATATTGACTTTGTATCCCGCTGTTTTGCCAAATTCATTTATTAGGTCGAACAGTTTTTTTTGTGGAGTCTATAGGATTTTCTATGTACACTATCATGTCATCATAAACAATAACAGTTTTGTTTTCTCTTTTCTAATTTGGATGCCTTTTATTTCCTTTTCTTGTCTGACTGCTGTGTCTAGAATAGAAGTGGTGAAAATGGACAAACTTGTGTTGTTCCTTATCTTAGTGGGAAAGATTTTAGTTTTTACCCTGAACATTCCTATTATATATATATTCTGCATCTGATTTTGCTATTAGTTGCTTTTGCTGGTGTCTTGTTCCCTTGAGTGCTTTTCGCTGTGAGCTAGCTGTTTCATTTTCCTCGCAACTTTACCTGTGGAAAATGTGTTGTGGACTGAGATGGGGGTGGGAGGCTCCTCTATAAAATATTTGCATTTGCTTCTAACAGACAACAGGGGGCACTACAAATCATGGGCTAATATTAAATTCTCAGCTTGTGTTTTTTTGTGAGTTCCAGATATTATAAATTACAGCTGCAATAAATGAGGGTTTGATTTTGTTTATGAATTCTCAGAAGATTTCTTTTGCTTTTCCATTCAACACCAGAGTTATTTCCAAGGGCTTAAAAAAGTTGGTAGGAAGGTTATTTTTAGTTTGCTTTTCTATTTGAGAGTAGCTCAATTTTACGAAAGGAGATCAACTACAGACTCTTCATTTTAGCTAAACCCTAGAATCTGCCTTCTGTCCCCACCCCCTCAGTCCGTAAATCCAATGCTTAGGCAAAGGCCTTCAGACAAAAACCAGTTTCAGGCTCCACTTACCTTTCTGGCTTCCAACCCTCATTCAGTTGCTAATCTGAGCTTTTTAACTTCCCTACTAGTTAATAGATGCATTTGGGGATTTTAATTTTTTTGTTTAATATTTTTTTCAGTAATTTTACTTTTTCAGCAAGAGGGTTAATCTACAAGGTCTGTCTGAAAGTATCCAGCCATGTAATATGAAAAATAGACATTTATTGAAGAAGATACAAGATACAAGAAACATTGTACTTAGGACAATGACCCCCTTCAAAGTAGGCACCTTGGAACCTCACGCACTTCTCCCAATCACCAGCAGCTGCTCTGTTGTATTTTCATGAATCTCACTGATGGTCTGAAATCTCTTCTCTTTCAAAGGTGATTTCAGTTTTGGGAAAGAGCCAGAAGTCATTAGGCACTAAATCTGGACTGTAGGGGGGCAGGGTAACCTGGGTCATTTATTGCACCCAAAATTCTACACGAGATGTGATGCATGAACGGGTGTGTGGTTGTGATGAAGCTGCCAAACACCAGCTGCCCATAGCTGAGGGCTTTTGAATCATCCAAATAGTTTCCAAGGAGGAATGTTCAAGCGTAATGCAGAATTTGATGCAGATTCACTGCTGTACTTGCTCAGTCATTTTGAATGTGATGGCCACACAGTACGCATGCTCACTTAATAGTATCTGCCACCCCCTCAGATTAAGTATAGTTAGGTATGTGCATTGCAGTCCACTGTCCTTGGCTGCCAGGCTGCATCAATGTCATGCAAACTGTTCTCGTTATATTAACAATGGTTGGACTTTTTCTGGAGAGACCTCATGAAAACCTAGTATATAATGTTGCAAGAAGTGTTGTTATATTTATTCTTTATATATGTTTTTGGGATGAGAGACATACATATGGTGTCACATAAGGCATTTGATGTAAATGGGGAGCTAAAGAGAAGTTCTCTTTCCCTTCTCTATACCCCTCTTCAGAGCCAATATGATACCATTGCCTTGGGTAATTTGATATAATTTAATTAATTATATCAAATTTAACAACATAACAGAGGACATTTTACTAGCAAATGGCATAGTCTACAATGAATATAAACTAATTATGGTATTTATATACCAAATAGCAGAGCAACTATGTTTATGAAGCAAAAACTATAGGAGATTCATGAAGACAGATAGAAACACAGTAATAGATTTTAATATACTCTTAGTACTCTTAGTAGTTAATATACTAACTACTCTTAGTACAAGACAGATAAAGTAGACAAAAAAAGGAGATAGAAGATCAAAACAACATAATCAGTAGGGTAAATCTTTCTTTTAATTTTAATTTTTTTAATTGATGAGAGATATCGATTTTTTTGTTCTACATATTTATGCATTCATTGATTGATTCTTATATGTATCCTGACTGGGGATGGAACCTGCAACCTTGGTGTTGCGTATTGGGATGACATTGTAACCAACTGAGCTACTCAGCCAAGGCTAATAGGGTAAATCTCATGGATATATATCAAACTCTACACTCTGAAGGGAATATTCCATGTGCTCAAAGCACAGTTACAAAAGCAAATCCATATCACATTATAAGAAACATATATCATAACCAAGTGAGATTTATTCCAGAAATGCAAGGTTGGTTCAATATTAGAAAATGTATCATTATATATCATGTTAATAAATCTAAGGAAATAAAGCATATGTATTTTTTCAGTGATGTTGAAAAAGCCTTTGACAGAATTCAACATTCATTCATGATTCAGACTCAACAGACATTGAGGAATACTTTCTTCATATG